GCCCTCTGGATCTAGGTTCCCTCTTGAAAGCTTGTAAGCCAGTCATGTCTTGCCTCTGTAGCCCTCCGCCCCCCCTTTGGGTAGCCAATGTCCAAGTAGCCCATCCCAGTCTACTCTGTGTATGGAGGGGGTGGGAATGAACCTCGCTGTAAAGATTTGTTTCCTCTTTTGAGCTACTGCATCCATAGGTGTAGAGGTGTAGGTCCAGTTTATCAAATTGTATCAGAATAATCTTCCCCCCCACCTCTTCTTTCTTCTACTAGTTGAGCTCTGACCATCCAGTCATTGAAGCCAGGTCAAGCGGGTATTATCTCAAGTGTTGATGTTCTTGTGCATATGCCCTCTCTTCTTATCAGCTGGATGCTTCACTCTCCACTCTAGTCCTCTGTGGCTATGTCACTGACTCTGCATCCAAGAGTCCCCAGGTCTTGCCACACTGCTGGCCAACCAGGTCTCCAACCAGGTTCACAGGAGTCTATTAAACGTTGTAGGGATTAGCTCGCAGCTTCATTGCTGTTTTTCCCTCATTTCCCCTTTTCGATGACGAACGTGGTCACCAATCAGAGAGTGTATTCCCATTGATTCTTAGTCTTGGGAGGGGGTTTGCTCTGAGGGGCCAGACTACTTGCCTTGATGTCTCCTGGGTGAGCAACTTGCTTGTTCTTGTAGGAATCAGTTGGTCTGCCTATATTGTTTTGTATTTTTCCTGTAGGTCTTTCTTTCAAGAAGTATCTTCTGTTCTTCTAGCTACTCCAAGCTGGTCTGTCCATCCTTTCAAGTGGAAATTTCCCACCTCTAAAGATTCTGGATGTTGTTCAGGATTCCACCTATAGTCTTATATAATGCAGAGGCTCCACAGGAAGCCTCTTCATTGGGCACATTGAAGCCCCATTTTAGGTATTCCAATCAGTTATAGGCTGAAGACAGACTTACAAGCTTTCTTTGGTGATATTTCTGGCCATTCCTTTCTCTCCCCCTCCAGTGTATATTATATAATAGTATACAAGGGAAACCATGATTCAAAAGACAGCCAAGCATATTAACATTATTTCCCCACATTTCCCCATTCCAGCTATGTCTCAATCCGTGTATTCCAGAGCCCTGTTGTTCCAAGGTTGTACATACACCATTCTTTACCTCTGTCCCACTTAGCCCATGCAAACCTGCCTGAATATTCTCCCATCAGCTTTGTTCTTCCATTTCCTTCCCCCCTCTTTCATATTTCCCACACCCAGCACCCAAACTATCCTGTGTCTATTCTGTGCCCTTTGCTCCACCTTTCCCTCCCTCCCCTCACCCCAGCAACTACAAAGAATGTCTACCCTTTAGTATGGGTTCTTTTTCTTAGTCTTTTACAGTAGTGGTCCTATGCAGTAGTTCTCCTTTTGTGACTGACACATTTCACTGCACATAATGTCCTCAAGATTCATCCATGTTATGTGGTGGCTTGCAGCTTCCTTGTTATTTTTCAAGGTAGCATAATATCCCATTGTGTGTATGTACCACAGTTTGTTTATCCATTCTTCAGTTGATGGGCACTTTGGCTGTCTCCATCTTTATGCTATTGTAAATAGTGCTGTTATGAACATTGGTGTGCATATATCTACTCGTGTTATGGCTCATATTTCTTCTAGGTAAATACCAAGTAGAGGAATTGCTGGATCATAAAGTATTTCTATTTCTACCCTTCTGAGGAAGCACCATATTGCTTTCCACAGAGTTTGGACTATTTTGCAGTCCCACCAGCAATGCAGGAGTGTCCCAGTCTCACCACATCCACGCCAGCATTTATTATCCTCTATATTTTTTATCTTTGCTGTTATTGTTGGTGTGAGATGATACTTCATTGTTGTTTTTATTTGCATCTCTCTAATGGCTAGTGATCATGAACATTTCTT